CGTCAAAGAATCAACGATGGATGATTCAAGCGACGATGATGAAGTCAAGCTTGTCATGAAGAAGTTTTGTAAACTTCTAAGGAAGAAAGAAAAGGTTGAGGATGGCCCTGTGTGCTATGGATGTGGTGAAGCCGGGCACATCAAGAACAAATGCCCGAAAAGCGGAAGGAATGCTCAGCACTTCAAAAGGCAAAGGGCATATATCTCTTGGGGTGGCGACTCCGGCGACGATTCAACCGATCAAGACGAGGATGAAACTGCCAACCTCTGTCTCATGGCGCACGAAGACCAAACTGACGATGTACAAGAGGTATGTACCATTTCTTCCGACTCTTACACCTTTGAAGAAATGCAAGAAGCACTTCATGAACTTTATGATGAATTTGTTAGCGCTTCTAAAACCAATAAATCATTAAAGAAACGCCTTTTAACCCTTGAAAATGATTTTGAAAAGTTGGAAAAAGATAATGAAAGATTAAAACAAGAAAACAAATTTTATGGCAAAAGAAGCGCTGACAAACCAGAAAGTTCGACAAGTGAATGTGAATCTTGCAAAACCTTAAAAGAAAAAGTTGCAAAACTTGAGAGTACGGTTAAAAAATTTAATACACCACACAAATATCTTAATTTACTTCTAGACACCATGCACTTTTCTAAGGAAGGAATAGGTTTTGATAAAAATGAATCTAAGGATAAAAACGTTGAGCAAACATCTAGAAAACCTCTTAAGGCTCAACATAAGAAAGTTAAAAATCAGGATAATAGAAAATCTAGTCAACCTAAGGACACTAGACAACCTAGACAAAAACCTAGGAATGAAAATGTGCATGATAGACAACCTAGGAAAAATTATCAAAATGATTCTGTGCATAAAAATAATCTTTCAAATAGACAAAATAATTTTAGGACACCTAGAAGGGAAAATTTTCAAAAACCAATGTTTTCTCAAAACAGGATGAATATGGTTAGGCCCCCTAGCAACTACTATCAACCTAGGAGGATGCATAACCCAAACGTAATTTGCCATTATTGCAATAGGGTAGGACATATAGCTCCCGTTTGCTTTACTAGGCATAGGCATTGGGCACAAAATGAATCACACTACCACTTTGCACCTAACACTCAAGGACCCAAAAAGACTTGGGTACCTAAATCTTATTAAATCATCTTTGTAGGTATGCTTGAAGGCGTCAAGCGTACTTTGGTATCTTGATAGAGGATGTTCCAAGCACATGACCGGAGATGCATCCAAGTTCCTACAAATCAAACCAGCTAAAGGAGGAAACGTAGTCTTTGGAGACAATAGCAAAGGAAAAATAATTGGCGTCGGTTCAGTAGGTAAGTCCGAAGACTACTCTATAGACAATGTCTTGCTAGTCAAAGGTCTTAAACACAATCTCTTGAGCATAAGTCAATTATGTGACAAGGGAAACCGTGTGACCTTCGATTCAAAATCATGCACTGTAGAACGCCTTAGTGACAATAAGGTCATTCTACGTGGTGATAGAATCGATAACATTTATATGGTTAACTTAGACAAATCTCCTTCCGGCTTTGCTAAGTGCCTCATGAGTAAAGAGGAAGACACTTGGCTATGGCACCGAAGGGTAGCTCATATGAACATGAACCTTTTGAACAAATTGGTTTCACAAGACTTAGTAATTGGCATCCCAAAACTTAAGTTTGAAAAAGACACCATATGTGATGCATGTCAAAAGGGGAAGCAAGTTCGGGCTTCGTTTAAGTCTAAAAACGTTGTTTCAACGTCTAGACCGCTTCAACTTTTGCACATGGATCTCTTTGGTCCTTCTAGAACGAAAAGTTTTGGTGG